CGTGGCTGCCATCGATAATAAGATTGAACAGGCTATGGTTAGCTTAAAACCAATTTAGGCTTAATAGAATTCCCTCTCTTCTAGGATTTAGTGAAAACTCTTTGACCTTTGCTGTACAGGAGGAAGTTGAAATTCTGAGACAAACTATTTCTGATTTGAAAATAAAAGTGATGGGAGTGATAGAGCTCCTTGTCGGCTCAATAGGTTTCTATCGCCGGGTGCTGCGCTTGAATCCGAAACCAATTATTACGGCAGTACGCCCCATCAGAAATTGTATCAAACTTGTCCAATTTGGTACAAAAGCAGAAGGAAATCAATCGCTCATGCAGCCTATAGCTGCTAGTTTCCCAATCCTTTTCGATTAAAAGTTCTCGATGCTTTATGCTCATCCACCTTTGCTACTACATTTGAACCACATGGCTGCCGTTGTTCCACAGGTTTCAGCCACCTCAACGGACAAAAAACCTGGCCGTCTTGCAATTTAACATACCTGTGATTGCTTTTAACCATTATCATTCTCAGGCTCGAGCTCGAGCATACTTTCACATTTTCTCTGACTCACGTTCGTTATCACCCATCTTTGAACCTCGTGTGATCCAGGAAGTCTTCAGTTCATAATCCACGAGTGATGTAGATATGTACTATATGTATTAATTAGGATTTTGTGGAGACACTACGTGATGAAGAAGATATGTTAGATAAACAACCGTTCTTCAACGCGTTTACTTAAGAAATGATCCTCACTGTTCACGTGAACACGTTAATACTCCCACGTGAGAATAATCGCGTGGCGTGTTTGCGACAAATGTGAACAGAGAGTAAAGCGAATGAAATCATTTCATTTATTTTTTTTCATTTTCTTCCACTATACCGGGCACAATGAAAGCAATAAGTTGTTTGTGAAGAAAAATGTGAAAATGAATAAACCTCGTGAGCTATTTGAGATTAAATGTGCAGCAAGTTGTGGGACAATTACTTCAAACTCATAGTTACTCAGTCTAGTTAGCAACAGAAAACTATTGCTTTAGTGTTTGCAGTTGTCTCATACGAAACCTCACCCCATATTTTTAGTCATACTGATAGATAGGCTGTTCGTTGTTGCACAAATTCCTTGTTGATATCCCTCCAACTATTCAATGTAGTTTCCGCCCACATTTTTTGAGCCATTAATAAAAATGGCAAATGAGGTTTAATTGAATGGCTTTTGAGAGGCTTAAGTCAGAATAACATGACATGAAATGCATATATCGAAAACGAATAGAAGAAGCTGATGAGAACGAGATTAAAGAAAAAGCTGGAGAAATGTTTGTTTTTCATTGTTCTCAGTTGATATTCATTTTCTGTTGTTGACAAGTTTGTTACTTTAATTGCTCTCAAAGCTGATAATCTGTTGTGTGTGTACTTTGGCATTTCCACCCAACAATATGATTGCATTTTCAAAAGAAAGAGGATCAGAAAGCTACAGCTTGATTTATTGTGTTCTGCGAACTGTCTGCGAAATATTTGCCCAGCCTTTAGTCTCCAAAAAAAAACTGTTATCGTACTTTACGAATAATAGACAATTACGTCATTCAGGCAATCTCACGTGATTTGTCTTTGTGATGTCTTTTATTAAGTTCCAAATAAGCTTTTTTTTTCATGCCTTTTGTGTGTGTGTAGACTGATTCCTCCGAGAGAGGAACACTCTGATAGATAGATGATGCAATAACAAAAAATGAGAGAGCGCCAAGAAGCAGAACATTTGTGATTTTTGTGACTTTTCTCGATCTCATCGGCAGTTTACATTTGTTTATCGCAAACGTTTTAACCCCGCCTCTGCTTTCTTCATGAAAGGGTTTTATTTGAGCAAAAGCTTACAGGGTCAGCTTTATTTCATCTGATTTTTGTCGTGCTGATGCTCATTCACCTGCTCGAAATGTGTTCCGCTCTCACTTTTTTCTCTTTTTTTTTCACAACATCTTAGAACATCTAATTTCATTCATGAAAACAATGGACCTATGAGTAACATCGCTACTTTTGATATGAGATAATGAGTGAGAGAGAGAACAGAGAGTAAGAGAGCAAAAGAGAGAAAGGAATTATTATTTTCTGTCAGCTCTATTTCTCAGAGAGATGCTTCAATTTGCCAAAAAGTTTGTTTTTGCATAAATTATCATTTGCATTGTTTCATATGTTTAAATTCGTGTGCTTATTCAATAAGCATCAGTCTATTTGTTTTTCAATACACACTCACCGATTATTGTTCCTATCGTTGGTGCTCTGTTCATGCCCCCTTTCATCACTACCAGCCAGCCAGCCTATCATCTTTATTTTATAGTCCAGTCGTCCTCTTCTGTCTATCTCCCTTTGTCCTTAAATTTCAATAATTTCTTTTCCTCCATACCTCTCATTACCATTAGCTTTGCATCTTTAACGTATTCAGTTTCATTTTATTTCCATTTTCAAGATATGTCTGCCGTCGTTCAACAGCAGCCTGCTACCAGATGGGGCTCCAGCCCCTATTCCCGAATGTCTTCTGTCGAAGAACTCGATTCATCACTCACTCTTCTCTCTCGTCACATTGTTTTGGCTAAAAATTTGCCAATGACTCCTCCTGGAACTCCTTCAGCTGTACCTGGGGTCGAGGAGATAAACAGCTTCGAGTACGGATCTCCAGTGTGCACTCCAATTCAAAAAATACCACCAAATACGCCAGTGACTCCGTTCTGTCGACCATTGAACATAGTGACTGATGGAAGGGCTGACTCATTTGACCTAAGGTGAGACTGTGTGCTCAAAAATAGCAAAATATGGCTTGCATGCTGGTTTATTTGAATTTTTGAGACCTGTTTGCTCTAGGCTTTTCTGATGTCATACGTTTAAGTTATTCTCAAAAAAACGCTGTTTGATCTTTCAGACGTTTTAACAAAGTTTAGTTTCTGATAGCTTTTCCTGGCTCAAGCCACTATTGCTTAACTAACAAAACTATTGTTTTCCTAATCCGGTTACGTCGGAAGCTTTAAAAGTTGTTCGTAACTTCAGAAAGGGATAAGGCTGTTTACAATTTCTCCTTATCTTTCTTATCTTCTGATTTGATCGAAAATTTTTCTAAAACCATCTTTTCGTTGACAGCCTTATCAGTGTTTTTCGATTCTCCAAGTATTTCCTGAAGAGGAGGTTAGAGGAATTTGAGACGATGAAACTCTTTTGGTCGAACGACCGTCAGCTATTCCTCAGCCAAGTTTTTTTTTCAGACCTTCCGGAAATAATGGAACACTCCAAGCTCCAAACGTGGCTGCCATCGATAATAAGATTGAACAGGCTATGGTTAGCTTAAAACCAATTTAGGCTTAATAGAATTCCCTCTCTTCTAGGATTTAGTG